TAAAGCCCTTAGTTACTTTAAGTTTATATTATATAATAATAATAAGTTTAACTATAAGATCCTTATTAATATAATATATCTTAATAGTAATAAACTAGTACTTTATATAGTTAATATAGTAATAGTATTTAATATAGTAAGATTCTTATAATCTATTACTATAGAGTATATATAGAAGGCACTATAGATATACTAGATTAATATATATTTTAGCCTACCTAATTAAATAATAACTAACGTTAGCCTAAATTTTTACTTTAGTAAGTTTAAATATACTACCTATAGGTTATTTATTAAAGTAAAAGAAGTACTTATTAAAGCCTATTATAGTATTAGTAAAGTTAAGCACTATTATATACCCTTTTACTACACCTATAAGATTATTTATAAAGAAATAGCACTAAACCTAAAGTTACTTTTTAACTTACTATTAAAGTAATTAATAATACTACTAGCCTAGATAGCCTTATCTTAACTTTTCTTAGTTTTAGTGTATACCCTTAAATAACTAATAAGTTACTATCTATATAACTACTTTATAGTCACTAAAGTAATTAAGAAAGTAATAGCTATAGTATACTAAATCTATAAAGTAATAGCTTTATAAAGCACTAGCTATATATAATAGCCTAGATTTAACTAATACTATTACTTTACCTCTTTAATCCTTATCTATATATAGTATAAAAAATATAGCTAGTAAGGCCTATTTTACCTTATTACTAATAATAGTACTACTTATACTATTAATTTACCTATAGCCTATATAACTTTAGGATTACTATAGTAAAACCCTACTATATAGAGAAAGGTTAACTAGACCTCCTTATGCTAAATAAACCTACTAGCTACTTTATATAAGTAGAAGATAATCTATATGTACTATATAAGCGAAGAAGACCTTATAAAGATACTTAACGCTAAAAGAAAGTATATAATACTATTATTATTAATAATAAATTACTATAATAATACTATAGTTCCTATAAAAGAACCTAATACCTATATTCTTTATAAAGATATACTTTACTATAACTATAGTGTTCTTAACTATAAAAGAAGAGGTAGACTATATACTTACTATTAAGCTATATAAAAAAGGATTATTACTATACCTAGTAAACCCTTTAAAGAATTTAATAAGGCAAAGGTAAAAGCCTTTTAACTATAGTATATTTTATATTATTACCTATAATAAGAAATCCTATAGTAATACCTATATATTTAAATTATATATAGTCTATAAAGTAAAAGTAAAAATAATAGCCTTATAAGAAATTATAGCTTATTATCTAAGGCTATATAGATAATAGTAAAGAAATAATTCTTATATAGTTACCTACTATTTAGTAAATAGCCTAGTAATTAATACTTACTTTGCCTTTTATACTTTAATATAGATTTCTTCTCTAGTTATATAATATTACCTAGCGTATACCTAATTAGTAATACTACTAAATTATTATTTTTATTTACCTACCTATATAAATTTACTATCTTTACCTAGTAAATATAATAATAATAGTAACTAAGCTATTATATAGTATTATAGAGGTAGAACCTACTAGTAAGTAACTTATAACTACTATTATAAAGAGAATCTCTAGATAGATTTATTAACCTTTAACCTTTACTTATTAATATTATTACCTAATAATAGTAACTTTAGATTAATTAGTATATAAATAGATAATATAATTAGCCTTATAAATAGTAAATTCTCTACCTATAAAGAGAAGAAGCTTAAGAAGGCTACTTTTATAGTAAAACCTAAGTAGTTACTTATAGCTAATAACTTTATTACTTTAATAGTAGTATATTATTATTACTACTAATAGTAAGCTTACCTTTATTAAAAAGGCTAAGGTAAAAAGCTTTAACTTATTAACAAGAAATTACTTACTGCCTAGTAAGATTATATCTAGTAATACCTATAGGTATATATTACTTCTATTTACTAACCTAAAGCCTACTTTAACTATTTAGTTACTACTTAACACTAATTACCTATAGTAGAAAGATTAAAGCTTTAAACTACTAAATTAAATAGTAAATTAATAACCTTAACTATAGCCTATAATTCTTACTAATTAACCTTATAACTACTAAGCTCTTTATATTTATTAATAGCTTATTTATAAATAACTATAACTTTACTTCTTAACTTAGCTTTATTATAGTCTTTACTAATAAATAAATTATTAAGTAACCTACTACTAACAGTAAAAGCTTTAAATTAACTAGTAATATTGTCTACTTTAGCTTAATAAAGTATAAAAGAGTTATATAAGTATACTTACCTCTAAGGTCTATAGGATAGTTACTAGTGCTAACGTTACCTATATAATTAGTACTACTTTTATAATAATTACTAACTACCTTAAACTACTATAAATACCTATAATACTCTATACTAACTTATACTTACTTTATAAGTGCCTTATAAAGCTTAGTACTATAAAAAGAAGTAACTTATAATAAATATTATAGCTCTTTACTATTATATAAATACTATAAGATTTATAAGATATAGTAGATTTATAGTAGTAATAACCTAGTAGATAGATTTATAAAGTTATTACTAAATAATATATTAGAGAAGCTAGTTAATAATAGGTAGTTAGAGATATAGATAAATAGATAGGTTTTTTATATATAATAGACTATATAAGTAAAAAAGTATTAAATACTTTTTAGCTTCTTGTTTTTATTATGTTTTTTAGCTATTCTTTTAGATATAAATAATAGGGGATTTCTAGCACTATAGAAAGTTACTAGTATTATAATATTCACTATTATAAATAAATATTAGAGTTATTAGGTTAACCCTAATGACTTATTACTAGTAAATCCTTAGATATTTAGCTATAGATTCTCTAAGGATTTATAGGCAATAAGTTAGTTATTTAACTAACTAACCTATAATAATTATCCTTCTTTTCTTTATGTATAATAAAGAACTATAGTTACCTTTATTATTTATTAATTACTACTAATATATACGGTTAACTATATTAACTTATCCCTTAGTGTTACTAATAATTAGTTAAAGTATATATATATATATAGCTTTATTAATTATTATAATAGTAATTAAAAGTACTTACTATAGTTATTTTTTAATACTTTTTCTTAATCTTTATAAGATAATTTATCTAAAGCGCCTATATAGTTATTTAAGATATATACTGCTTTAAATTTAGATATATCTTTATCTAAGACTATACTAGTAATATACTTATCTATAAGAGCTTTAGCTACTAGATTTAATATATGTGCTATATATATTATATTATGTAAAGATATACTATTATTAGTATTATAACTTAGTAAAAAGCTATTTAAAAAGGTATTATTATTAGTGCTATTATCTCTTGTTATACTAAAAATTAAATAGTTAGTAAACTATATATATCTATATATATTTATATATATATCTATATATATTTATCAGAGAATTACAAAAATACAAAATACAAAAATACAAATACATGTATTTGTATTTGTATTTTACTAAAAGGAAATATAATACAAATATAAATACATGTATTTGTATTTGTATTTTTGTATTTTATTACACTTTATTTATAGTTATTAATAGTTATATATTAAAATATAATTAAACCTATTATATTTCTTTTATTATATTTCTACTGTATTTTTAAACTTTTAGTTAGTTATAAACCTTTAAGTTAATAAACTAAGAATTATATTATTAATATATATAATATATATTTAGCTACTTATTTTATAATATAAAGTAGAATATAATATAATTACCTAGACTATATACTCCTATTAATAATAAATAGTAAAATTATAAGTAAGTAATATATAGTAGTTTATAGTGTAATACTAAGTATTAAATATAATAAATAATCTTTAAGTATAAAATAACTATAATCTTAAATCTAACTATTTTTATTATCTATATCTAGTATATCTAATAGTATTAGTATATATATATATATATATATACTAAAGAATATCAGAGCTATTACTAGAATAATCTATAACTAAAGTATTATTCTCTTCTTCTTCTATTTCTTCTTCTAATTCCTCTTCTATATTGTTTTCAATATATATACTATTATTATCCTCCTCTTCTATAGTGAAATCTAATTCATCATCTGAAACTTCAGAATAATCAAATAAATCACTATATAACTTAGGATTAATTAATTCTAAGTTACTATTATTATTAATAATAGAATTCTAGTTCTTTAATAGTACTAGTTGCCTTCTGTTTTTATGGGTAAGTCTAGTTCTTCTTTTTGTTATTATATTACTAGATTGGTTAAAACTAGCTTCTACTGCAGCTGAAGTTAAAGGTATAGCAAGGTATTTTCTAGCTATAATACTTAGTATAGGGAATTTAACTTTGTTATCTTGCTACTAGTTAATAGGGTTAACCTAGTTATAGTATATTAGTATTTAATCTTAGTAGTAAATTATTAGTTAATATTAATATTAGTAGTTAATAACTTAATATTAATACTAGTAGTTAATAACTTAATATTAATACTAGTAATTAATAATATTACTTATAGAGTTATAGTTTATATTATTACTAGTAGTTAATATTCTTTCTAGTAATATTATTTACTACTAATAAATAATAAAGGGTCTAATAATAATAGATTAACTTACTTTATCTACTTAAATATTAACTCTAAAGTAGTTATTTAATTTATCCTTTTATATATTCTTATTTTCTTGTTTACTTTAAATAGAAAATAAATTACTAATATATTCCTCTTTAACCTTATTATTAGGTAGCTTAATTTTACTTTTAATAGTATTAGTAGAAGTTTCTATAGTAGTATTAATAAGTAAAGTTTCTTTATTTTTTCCTTTATTCTTAGTAGTAATATTATTACTATTAGTTAAGGTTTCTATACTTATTCTATCTTTAATAGATTCTAAGTATAGACCTTTTTGATTTTTTATTAATAAATTATTAATAATATAGTTTTTTAAGCTATTAATTAGTTAGTTATTTACTATATAATAATATTACTATTAATAAAGGTTTTATAATATATATATATATTAACTTTATATTTAACTTACCTATTAAACTCCCTTGCTAAGTCGTTTTTTGCTAAGGTTATAATACTATTAGGTATAAAGGATACTAGACTATTTTTTCTAAGACTTTTATAATTAAGTCTAGGGTCTAGAATAAACCCTATTAAATAAGGCTCATATTTACTATAATAAGTATTAGGCGTAATAGGGTATGGAAAATAGTCTTCAAGCTTCTGTAACCCTATATTTATAGCTTTAATAAATATAGAAGAATAAAGATATTTAGTTTCATTAAACTAGAAAGAAATAGTTAGTAGAATTCTTATAGTTATTAATATACTATTTAAATAGTATAAATAAAAGAAATATAATAATAGTATTAATTTAATAAATAATAAAATATTATTAATATAATAAATATAAGATTAGTATATATACTAGCTTTAATATATAGGCTTATATATTTAAATAGTAAATACTATAATATATATATATATATATACTTTCTTAAATAATAATTACTTACTTTATCTACTTGGTTTTCTTTAGAAGTATATAGGGCTTTAATATCTAATAGTTGATAATAAATATTCCCTATTATACTAAGAGTAGTACTAATAGTTATATAACTCCGGCTTTGTAGATATATAGTAGGGCTATAAAAAACTTGAAGTATATCTCTTAAATAAGTAAGTTGTATCTAGTCATTAATATTAGGATAAATAATCCTAAATATCTTATTTTTAGTTAACTTATATAGTATATCTAAGGCTAGTTTTAGCTCTATAGCTATATTAAGCATTAGATATACTAAATTCCATCTAGTCTTATTACCTAGAGAAAGATTAGTAACTATTAGGTTATATAGTATTATATATATATATATGTATATATATATATATATATGTAATAATATTAATATAAGTAGGTATATATATATAGATATTAATATAAATATATATATATAAGTAGGTATATATATATAGATATTAATATAAATATATTTATATAAGTAGGTATATATATATAGATATTAATATTAATATATATATATTATATATAGTAGTAAATAGTTACTTACAGAGGGGTATTTTTGTTTTATAACTATTAACAGGGAATTTTTTCCCCTTTTTTGCGTAGTTAATAGTAGTTTAGAATTCTTTATATAATATAGTATTATTTCTTAGTAGTATTACTAATCTTTTCAGCTTTCTAATATTACCTATTATAATATTAGTCTAAGTATATATATATATATAGGTATATTAATTATTATAATAATAATTAAAAGTACTTACTATAGTTATTTTTTAATACTTTTTCTTGATCTTTATAAGATAATTTATCTAAAGCGCCTGTATAGTTATTTAAGATATATTCTGCTTTAAATTCAGATATATCTTTATCTAACACTATACTGCTAATATATTTATCTATAATAGCTTTAGCTACTAGATTTAATATATGTACTATACATCTTATATCATATAAAGATATACTATTATTAGTATTATAACTTAGTAAAAAGCTATTTAAAAAAGTATTATTATTAGTGCCGTTATCTCTTGTTATACTAAGAAATTAAATAGTTAGTTAACTATATATATATATATATATATATATATATATATATATACTTAAGGTAAAAAAATAAAACACTTACCTAATAATATTCTCTTTAGGTATACTATATTTATTAATAATACTTTCTTTAAAGACTTCTTGTATATATAAGCTAGTATGTGCACTATTTAAGTATTTAAAGCCTAAATAAGTTATAATAGTTAGTATATATATATTTATAATAAGTTAATAATAGTAAAATTATTAATAACTAGTTTTAGATAAAAGAAATAGTTAATATACCTAATTATATATAGTTTAACTTAGTAGAGTTATCTATATAAGAGCCTATAACCCCTAAATAGGCCTTATTATCTATAGAGGTCCATATATCTAGCTGAATAGATATATAACCATAGTTTAAAAAGTGTTACTGTAGGTTATATATAATAGTTGCTTCTAAGCTAGTAAACTTAATACCTAAGTATTTAGTTAAGCCTCTATAATTAACAGTAGGACTAGAGCTATATAAAGATAATATTAGTAAAATATATATAGTAAATATAAATATATATATAAATATATATATAGTTATAATTAAAAGCTAACTTACTTATTTAAATAAGATAATAAAGAATTAAACTTATTAGAAGTAATATTACTATAAGGTATATAAATTATAGTAGATAATTAATAATATAATCATAGAATTCTGTTTCTTCTATATTATTATAATTATTAATAGTACTACTTTCTCTATATCTTCGTTTATTTGGTGTATTAGACATAAAGTCATTAATAGTGCTTTGTGTAATATTACTTCTATTATTATTCTTTATATAGTCCTGAACTATTAAAAGGTTAGTAAGTAAATAATAATAATATTATTAATTATAATTATTATTATAATAAGAGTAGTAGTTATAATAATATATAACTATTATATATATATTAATAATATATATATCTATATATATATATTATAATATATATATCTATAATATATATATCTATAATATATATCTATAATATATAAATCTATAATATATAAATCTATAATATATAAATCTATAATATATAAATTATAATATATATATTATTAATATATATATATATATATATATAGTTATATTACTATATATAAAGAAGGTAATAATATAGAAGTATAAAGTAACTTACACTTAATTTTATCTATATCTAGTTCTTCTTTTTCTGATGTTGCTATTATAGGGTGGGTTTTTTTATAGTGAGTTACTGCATTAGACGTCTAAAATCGAGCTACTTTAGTAGTAAATTTCTTATTATAACCTTTAATATTACAGGTTAATTCTATTTCCCTATCTTTACTTAAATTAATAGGTAATAGTTTATAAGTAAATAAACCGTTAGTAATAGGATACTGCTTAGTGCCTTTAAAGATATAATTTTTTTGATTTTCTATTTTATAGGCGTATAAAAACTGGTTTTTAGTACTATTAATTATATCTAAGAGGAATTAATAATAGAATCCTCTGCTTAAGAGGTGCTAGAGGATTCACTAGCGTAGAAGGAATTGCCGGATTCAGAAGCCATTTTTTTATTATATATATATATATATATATTTCTTTAATAAAGAGTAAAATAAAGTAGTTAAGATAGTTAATAGTTAAATAAATACTTAAAAGTATTCTTATAATCTTTACTATTATTAATATAATAGTATTCTTTATAGTATATAAGAAAGTAAGTTACTATTTACAATAAGAAAAATAAAGAAGTAAAATACTACTATATATACTTTTTTACTTAGTATATAACTTACTATAACTATATATTTAGTATATAACTATAACTATACCCTTATACTATAGTTATACCTTTTAATTATATAAAACTATAAATATAACTATACCTTTATACTTTAGTTATACCTTTTAGTTATATAAAACTTTAACTATAACTATAACTATACCTATATCTTTAAGCTATAGTTATACCTTTTAATTTTATAAAACTATAACTATAACTATAACTATACTCTTATATTATACTTATAGTTATAGTTTAAGATTTTATAAAACTATAACTATAACTATAACTATACTCTTATATTATACTTATAGTTATAGTTTAAGATTTTATAAAACTATACCTATAACTATAATTATAACTATACCTTTAAGGTATATTTATACCTCTTAAATTTATAAAACTATAACTATAACTATAACTATACTCTTATATTATACTTATAGTTATAGTGTAAGAATTTATAAAACTATAATAATAGATATACTTATAACTATACCCTTAAGCTATAGTTATATCTTTTAATTTTATAAAACTATAAGTATAATTAAAAATATACCTTTAAGCTATATTTATACCTTAAAATTTTATAAAACTAAATCTAAAACTATAACTATACCTTTATATTATACTAATAGTTATAGTTCTAGATTTTATAAAACTATAACTATTACTATAATATAATTATACCCTTATACTATAGTTATACTTAGAGGTTTAGATCTTATATCTTATAATTTTATAAAGAATAGAAATACTATAATATATATCTAAATATATATAACTTATATCTTATAAAATACAGTATTATTAGTATATATAGTTTATATAGGCTATTAAAGTTATTTTTATATAATTTATTTAAGGAAGAAGAAAATAAATAACAATATATATTTTAAATACAAAAATATAAATACAAACACATGTATTTGTATTTTAAATATAAATATATGTATTTTAGAAAAACTAAAATAAAATACAAATACGTATTTGTATTTGTATTTGTATTTGTATTTTTGTATTTGTATTTTGTATTTGTATTGTATTTTGTATTTTTTTGTAATTCTCTAAGTACTATATACTATCTACTAGACTACTATATAGTAAACCTATTTTTATAATATAGTATAGCCTTACTATTATTATCTATATAAACTACTAAGAATTTTATTAAAACTAAAATAAACTACTTATATATTAACTTATATTATATTATATATAACTCTATATATAGCTATATAGTATTATTTTCTTTAAAGTAAGTACTATGTCTTTAATTAATAATATAAGTATACTAAAAATACTATTATAGAATAGAAAATAACTCTATATGTTTAAGTACTTTATACTATACTAAGTTTGAAGAACTAGAAAATAAAGTTAATTCTTATAACTCTTTAAATATTTTAATTAATAATAATCCTACTTTTACTATAGAAAATATAGTTAAGTTATTAGAAGATAATAATAACTTTATTAATACTATATATACTATTATTCTAGAAGAGCTAGAAGCTTTAGAAATTAAGTAAATAGACTTAGACAAGCGTTTTAATATTAATACTCTTAATGTTTTTAACCCTTATACTATATTATATAATATAAGTATTAAGTATAAAGAGAATATTAAAAGTAATAGTATGAAACTTCTATTATATAAATTATTTTATAATAAAGTTACTATAAATAGCAATAATAAAGAGTTTAAAGTAAGTTAATATTTCTATAGTAGTAATATAAATAATATATATAGTATATACTAATATTACTAGAATTATATACTTAATACTATTAAAAATAGTATTAGTTATAGTTTTTATAAGTAAAAAAAAGAGAATAATAATACTATTTCTACTAGTAGTATTAAAGAAGTAAAAGACTATTATATTAATATCATTTTACTTAATATTTTTTCTACTAGTAGAGTTAGAAATCTTAGTATTAGTAGTTCTTAAGATATTTATAGTTTAATAAAAAAGTAATTATATATAGTTAAAAGATAGTAATTATACTACTTATATATATCTTAATATATAAGAAAATATTAAACCTAGTAAAAAGATACTATTAGATACTTTAACCTTTATAGTAATAATTATAGTACTAAGTCTATAAATATATCTATAAATATATTAGATTTAAATATCTAGATTTATAATATAATTAACTATATAATTAACTATATAATTATATAGTAATAATACTAACCTTTAATTTATGTATTTTTGTAATAAAATATAAATATAAATATATATATGTTAGAAAAATAAAAATAAAATATAAATATATCTTTGTATTTATGTTTATATTTTATATTTTATATTTATATTATATGTTTGTATTATATTTTGTATTTTTTCTTAATACACTAGTTCTAAGAGATCTCCTTAGAGAAATAGGTCTTACTTCAAAGATCTATTCTTAATTTCTTTATATATAAAAATTATTATTATATAGTATATATAGCAGTTTTTTAAGTAGTTATTATTATATCTAGTGTATATAGTGTATATAGTATTAATAATACTATAGTTGTTAGTAACACCAAGGGATAAGTTAATATAGTTAACTATATATATTAGTAGTGATTAATAAATAATAGAAGTAACTATAGTTCTCTATTATATATAAAAAAAAGAAGGATAATTATT